GCCTGCTTTGCAACTAAAAAAACTTCCAGCGGAAATGAAACTAATAGATGAATAAACCCTCTGGTTAAGATGGGGGTTACCTTTAAGGTGCAGACCAGTGTTCCTTTAGAGAAGGTGAGAACAAGATGACTTTGGCATAGCCACAATAACAGACCATGTGAAATCCAACTGTGTGTTCAATGTGTGTCTGTCTGCAAAAAAGGGTAACCAGGGCTCTTAATAATTACTACTGGAATCCAATCAGCAAAAGACCCATCACCATAACAAGGAATTGGCATCTGCTGCTATCTTCCACTTAAATTGGGCTGTTGTTGCAAGCAACATCAATGCTGGTTCCAAAATCATTTCTAAAACATCAAGTAAAAGGAATATATGTTCATAATCACTGTCACTACAGTATTACTACCACTCTTTCAAGTGGCAGGAAGAATAGAAATTCAGACAAGTTTACCGAGTGAGTATCATTGTCTTGTAGAAAAGCATGTTCATCTTGCAAGAGAATAACTCCTGGAGCTTCAAAGGCCAGCTGCACCATTCTGTGAGTGAACAGGCAGGGACAGAGGCCAGTATTGATAATATCAACCCAGAAATCTGTTTGCTGGATTTACCAGGTTTTAGTACAGATCTCAAATAGTACTTTTCATATTCTATTCCACACATAGGCACACACTTGCTGAGTTTGGTGGAATAGAAAGGTCTTTGCCTGTCAACAACCATAGGATCCACCAGTATGAATACCCAGGCAGATTTGACTGGAAAAAATATAGATTTTTAAGCCTCTGACAAGCATCCAAGGAAATCTGCAGAGCTGACTCAATGGATGTCAGCACCAGAGGGTATTTTTGACATTGGCACTAATGGCAAAAACAAGAAGAAAGAAAAAAAAGAAAAAAGAAAAAAAACAACAAACCATGAGAGAGAAGAAAATAACTTGCTGTATTAGAGCCAAAGGTACTGAGGCCTGAAGAGATGGTGTAATTTTGTTCTTTGATGTTACTTACATTTTAAGCTGCAACATAGGCTATGTCAGGAATTCATTACTTAACATAAAGCCAAGGAGATTCCTCAGTCCCCAGCCAGTTGTATCTGGCAGTGCCAGACATGAACAGAAAAAGATGCCCCTGCTGGGTATTCAGTGAAAGGACCCAAGCCAGTCTTGGGATTTTCAACTATAAGAAACTAGCTCCAATTATGAAGCATAAAGCTATAAGTGTTCAGAAGCAGTATGATCCTGGAGCTTTAATTAAAAACCTCCCTTCCAGCAGCAAAGGAGAAAACCAGTAAGCTGCGTACTTGACTATCCGAGTGATTTTTGTTCTGAAAGAAGGCAAGAGAGTGTTGACTAGTATAACCACTGGTTAGGAAATGGTCTTATGAAAAAAAAACACCTCTTATAAAACTCTAGGCTCTTGTGTCACATCTAAGATGTTCCCTAATACTATTAGCATGATAAATGATCATTACTTAGATTCCACCTAAACCCAAAAGTGAGTTCTGCTTTCTCTTTGGCACAGGAGTAGGAAGGAGTTTCAAGGGAATACAGGATGTATGCTTTGCTTGAGTATAGGCAAGGACATCAATCCTTACACGATACTACTTGCATATGCTGTAGGGAGCGCTGCACTTCATCATTACATTTGCAATGCTTCCATAGCCAAGGAAATGCTTTCCTAAAGGTTAAGAGAACAGCAGAAAGTTTCAACATTAGGAGGTCTGTCCAGCAGCCGAAATAGAGCTGTATATCATACTGCTACTTCTCTTCATCCTCTTTTGGGATCACTGGTGCTGAGCTGGAAGTAAAGCCAGGTTCTTTTTCCCACCAACAGGAATACAACCAGGCTGCTGGCAACCTTATAGTGAGGTGGCTGAACAGAGTAAAGCATGCCAAGCAGGCTTTTACCACACTTCCCCCCTTATCTGCAGCATGGCTCATAAGGCAACCAGCAGTTACTATGATATTCTTGCACACAATGACCCCCACACCCCCAGCTTAATGTGGGCAGGTCACGTCTCCTGCAAATTATTAAGTGCTAAAGCTGGAGGCAATGCTGGCCAGAGGCAGCACCATATAACTATATTAGCCCTATTCCTGTAACTACCTAAATTGTAATCCTCATTATTCTGGAAAAGATTGCGCTCTGGTAGCAGGCATCATTTTTGTTCCATTGTGTACCAGTAAAACACAGATGCCAGCTAAGCAACTACTTAATCTATTTTTATACATATAGGTCAATTGTCCCATGAACTGACATATATAGAGAACAGGAGAATAGGATTAAAACCCATTTTTGTGCTATTCCAAATCCAGCTCTCGGTGTCTTTCTGTTTTAATTGTGGTTATTGTATTGCTTGCTTATATTGTGATTTAGGAACATAAAACAAGGAGAAGAGGTTATGCAGAACACGCCAGATTCCAGGATGAAAAAGTCCACCATGTTTCTTTGTGCTTTTTTAAGTTAAATGATTATCATACTGTTACATATTCCTGGTCACAGATTGCACATTTAGTGCAGTACCAGATATAGTGAACTGATGTAACCTGGCTATTCACTGTGGACCGAATATTTAAAGAGAGCACAAGAGCTGGTTCCAACACAAACAGTGGGAAAAGAAAGACTGGGCTGGTGCAATTGCTGACAACTACTGGAACAAATTAGCTCATGCTCAGATTTCAGGAATACAATTAATTAATCACTACTAAGTACCCTAAAATCAAGTGAGCCATATCCCAGCTAACAGTCCACAACATAACGTTCACAGCACGTATCAGGCAATGAAGATGCTCATTACAGTGCCAGAACTAGTGTTTCTAGAAAAATATTATATATAAAGATGAAGTAATTATATGGCACGGCAATAAAAAGAGCTGTAGAGTTTACAGCTGAGCTGAAAATCTGTAAGAATCTGTTTCCAAGAAATACTTTTCAAAGCTGCAGACATATGAACAATGAAGTATTAGGCATATTTCTTCAGATCACTGAGGGATATACTTTGCTTTTGTTATATACATCTAATATACACACCGTAACCAAGAGAGCAAGCAAAAATGTACTAATGGAAAACAATGTCATTTGCTCTTATTCAGGAGAAAGCAGTTTGTAGAACACTATTTGTAATACATAAAACAATCACAAAAACCCTTTAAGATCATAATTTTACAAGCTACCTGTTCTCTTAGATTTATACAGTGGAGAAATCAAAATCAGAAAATAGACCTACGTTTAACAGCATATTTGGAAGAGTACCTTAGATAAAGACAGTAGTCCAAAGTCAAAGACAAAGCCCATCATTACCTTAGCAGAGGGCAAGAAACGCCCACTATGGCACAAAACGAATCAACACACTGGCATTCTCCTAGTGTGCAGCAGTTTGCCTGTATTTACACAATGCTACAGACTTCAAGTGTCATTGAAAATCTATTTAAATTAATAACTCCATGGTTATCACTTTTGCAGACAGTAATGAACCTTAAGTGAACCTGTGTGTGTATATTCAGAAGTGCTTCATTTTTGGAGTACCTTTGTAACTCTGAACTAGGTATTATAATGGTTGTTGACTTGCTCAAACTTAGATTATTAGGCTAGATTTTCAGCTGGTTGAACTGGCATAGTGCCAATGATGTCCATTTACATCAAATGGGTCATTATTAATTCAAGGTCTTATTTGCTCCTTAATGAATATTTTCACTAGTCACCTTCCCAACGGCAGCTTTAAATGCTCAAACATTACCTCCACGGTCAGAATTATCATACTCAAGAACTTAGTTATCGAAAAATAATGCTTTTTCTCTCCTTCTATGAGACATACCTAAGGTAAGCTTTTTTAATCGTTTATGAAACAAACTAAAATACCTCCTGTGCCATAACTGACTAGAATTATGCTTACATACAGCATCATTTGCATATAAATATAAAAATTTTACAACCCTAAGGGGACATTAAGGATGAAACAAAACAAGAATGGAATTAAACAGCTAAATGGACAACAGAGCCCTCCATAACAAGCCTCTTTTACAGCCTCATCTTTTTCCTTATTTATTGTTATTTCTGTCTGTACCCATTCACACATTCTTCATCTCTGTTATTTTAAGATACTACATACATTTTAACATCTTTGTTTGGTCTTTCAATTTTACAATGCTATCTCTGCACTTCTAAAACAAATGAGGATACAGACACTTCACTAATTTTGTGCATCTTCATTTAATACATCACAGTGGTCAGAAACACAATTGACTGACATACGACTGACTTTCTCCCACCCAACCGACACTCGATATTTTTCACAACGATATCAAAAAGTCAGGTTTTACAATTTTTCAACCAAATCTCACTCATTACCTCAGTAGAACAGTTAGCTGCCAAACACACAAAGGAGAGCAGCCACTCTTTTTGAGTTCTGTCGTTACTAGCATTAAGGAGTTTAGTTTAAATGCCTAAAAAAAATATTCAGGAAGTTGAGAACCTGAGAAACCTCAATGGTAAACTCAGTAATTCTGCTGCAAATTGTGGGAGGTAAAAACTTTAATTAAGCTGCTTTTTCTGTGAGAAAATATCCTTCTAAAGTTCTACAGCAACGTCTACATGCTCAGTGAAACCTACTGGTATTCCACAAGACCTGGCAATCTGACTGAAATTTCTAGTGAGTAGGTGTACTTGAATAACACTGGAGTAAGTCAAACTGAAAATATTCTATCATCTTTACTTTTTTGATTGTGAGTACCACTTACCAAACTTTCAAATAACTATCTTGACCCAAATATATTTAATCTGGTTGTGCCCAAAAGCCACAATTAAGATATAAGCATGCATACTATAACAGCTATACAAAAATTAGGAAATCGTTTTCACCATGGAAAGCATGAGGAACAAAGTTTCACGATTAGGTAAATACTTTTTTCCTTAATGGCTAAGCAGGCCACTTAAGATGCCTTGATAGCACCATGAAGTTGCCCATCAAATGTACTTTGGTGTATCTTGCTAAAAAATGTTACTACATACCTGGAATAAATTCCACTGACCATGTTGTGCTGGAAAGAGATGTCTGCTGTGCTGGGTCCAGCAGCTTTGGAAATAAGCAATACGACCAAGCCCCGCATCTGTAAGTTATGTCGGCTATCATACACAAAACCCCTGAAAAAAGGACAGAAAAAAAAATATCATGTTTTCACAATCTACTTTCACTGGTCATACCACAGTGGAGAGAAAAACTCAGACCTCAGTCTGCCATCCTTTCATCAACTCTTTAATATGCACATTTACATGGAAATAAGCAACAACTATGAACCCTAAACAAAAGAACAGTTTAAATGCTGCACGTGTAAATTTGGGGTCAGAAAGAAACTGCCACCAAATATGTATCTGTTGAAAGCAATTCTAAATGACCGCTTAGGTACACCAACTCAGAAATCAACTTGTTTCAAAGCAAGCTTAGTTTTCCTTTTTGACTGTAATGTCTCCAATTGCATTCTTCCTGTCTTTGTCAAATGCTTTCTAGTTCATATGTTCATCAATTAGGCTAGATCATTAGAAGACAACACATTCCAGATGCTATTAAATTTCTAAACTAATTTACAATAAATAAGAGCCCTTATCTCTGATATAATAGAAATGATTTGTTAAAATATATCATATAAAGAACTACATCACAGATTACTAAGCACTTCAACTCATTTTATTCCGGAGTATAATTTTGAAGGAAATTAAAACAGAACTGTCTTTGCAACATCTGAATTAAAATTTAAGATGTTGATCTTGGAAGTGTTTCAATAAAGAAAACAGTGGATGCAACCTGAAATTTCACCTGGATTTTTTCATTACATCTACACCACTTTACAAGGCAAGAATACCTTCAGTATACTATTTCATTTACACAGACACATAAACATTAAAAAGTCATAATTTAAATAGCTCCCTTCTGTGTGAAAGTTCCTCTGCTACTGCAAATAAAATCTTGACTTTTTTTCTTGAGTCTTTACAGCCTGTTCTACAGTGACAGGAAAATGGTCCAAACTACGTGCTCTAGGAGGAGAATGGTAGGGTCCACCTAGGGAACTGGTGCCAGACAGCTACTGAACTTGATCTTCACACCTGCATTGATTTGAAGTGAATGCTTCCTTCTTCACAGAAGCCCTGAGCCCAGACTCTGTGCAGCTACATCCTACAAATGCCACTAGCAATTAACATAAGAGGAGGCCAGCATGGCTTTCTACAACTCACATTTGTAGCCCTGGCAGGGTCTAGTTAGCCAAACGAGGCCATGACTTCTTGCCCACATCCTATTTGCTTCACCTGCAGACTATCAGGATGCTCACTCAGGACAAGTTAAGTGTGACATGTAAGCCCAGTAGCACAGCATGCCAGACTCCAGCAACATGCTCTCCACTTACTTGGTAAAGTACCAACTTTTGCCGAATTTCCAAGAACGAGTGCAAGTGTGTATGGCTTCAGACAGTTACAGAGTTTAGCTGAACTAAGCTGAGGTTTTAAGAACCAGGTGGTTACCAACCATGCACAGACAAAGCTGAAATTTAGCCAAAAGCAAGCACGAGCCACCAATCTTAATCTGCAATAATGCAATTAAGCAGTAGACTCTCTTACCAAAGCACTAAAATGCAAAAAGCAATTAACACATTACCTTGCTAGCTATCTTAAAATAAACCAATTAAAATGTTTCTGAAAATTAGGAGAACTTGGGTGATCAATATTTTAGTGGAAGACATTCAGCACGGATTTTAGCACCTTAGTTAAGGCTCAACTTCCTGAGGAGAAACCATAGAGCCACCAGCTCCCACTTCTTTGATCCTCAAAGAGCCTTTAAAAAAAATAACACAAACCAAACCAACAGAAAAACCCCCAAACCAACCAAACAAAGCATCCAAACAAAAATGCCAAACCCCAGAAACACAATCCTGACTAAAACAGCATAAAAAAAAAACAGTGCAAGGAAGATGCTATATATAAGGGCTCACTTCCCTGAGCAGAAGTGATTTCTTTAAGATCAGCCCCCCAGTACTTGCCAACCACTCAAGCCTAGGAAAGTTCACACAGCTCAGGTCTCTTCCCAAGAGCACGCACTGCAGTCCTACAATGGGGACCTTTATTTTTTTTATGAGGTACATATAGTGAGGGTATTTGAGGAGGGGACAGCTGCTTGCCTTCATCATATTGTGCATTTATAACTTGTATACCTTTATTCTCACCAAGTACAGAAATAAATAGTTCTTTTCTTACCACATTCCAATATACAGTTAACAGAATGTAGCCAAGACAGTTAAACACTGGAAACTCTATAGATTTCTAAAGTCAGAGCCACAGTGAACATCAAACTACACAGGAAAAAAAATACATATAATGAATAATACATAGTGTGAGTACATCCTGTATACAGAATTCCTAATTGTTTGTGGTGGTGTAAGTACTTCTCTGGCTTGAACCTCAGTTGACCACATTACTCACAACCACATAGGTTATGCAGATGATGCGACTATGTACGAATGTATTTCTTCAACACTATTTACAACTCCATTATTTTTAAAGAACAGTGGTTTTAGGAAAAAACTTGCTTTTTTCTACGTACGTATGCTGGTAAAAGCAGAGCATCTTATTAAATGTAGGATCCTTTGAGAATTGAATAATGTGCTTTTTTTTTTTTTTCTTAAGAAAGAAACTAAAATGTAGCAAATTATGGGTGATACTTTTAACAAGCAGAACACTTTGGTTTTTCATGCCTGGTGCTCTCCAGCTTGCCAAGACACAAGATATTACAGAGGTAGAAAAGAAAGGTGTTCACCACAGGATCATAAAGCACTGGCCTTAAAATAAGCCACTGCCTAAACAGACCCCACTAGAAGTGAAGCACTACAGTACTTTCACCTGATTCAGACTAGGGCAGGCACAGAAGAAAATTACCTGTGCTGAAAATACTCAGAACAGTTTCCTAGCAATAGTAAGAACAAGTGTTCAAGAGCTGTTCAGGGGGGCTTGAGACAGCTCTAGCAAGGAATGCCTTGCATTCTTAGCAGAAAATTATTAATGAGCTGCTGTGGGTAGGAGGGAAGAACAGGACATAAAAATTAGATAGGGTAATAATAACGAGAAGCATGTATATCATTTCTACACCTAATCATATAGCCTATATGTTACATATGTTTCGGATGTAATTTTAGAAAGGATTTTCTATGAATTACCAAACCAGTAGTCAAAGCCTAACTCCATTCAAAACATGACTGAAGTTGTGTTACTGACATGTAACACCCACACTAAAGCAAACTGCATTAGACTTGAAACAAAGCCTACCGTGATCATCCTTTAGTCACTAGAAACTACTGCAGCTACTTGACATGGCTTCAGGGGTCACATTCACATTCTGAATTAAGCTCCCAAGAGATATTCTGTACAAGTAGCTGCTACACAAAAGTCTTCCAGATGGTGCAATTAGTCTTGATGGGTATGTGACAGGACACAGGTGCCTCTAGGGAAAAAAGTGAACTAAAACCAACCCAAGTGAAATTGTGCACACAGAAAAAGATGCATCAAGCTGACACTCTCTTGGAAAACCTCTGCTAAACACCACAAGTACATGCCTAGGGTACCCCAAAAAGTAATATTAGCGCAATTTTGCCGTTCCGAGTTACAGGCTGAGTATCTTGCAAACTACATCATCCTCAGGGGACCGCATGCCAAAAAAGGTAGGAAACTCAAACAATTCTACAGTTCAGTTTTGCAAAAGATTTTTTTTTTTTTTAATAAGAAGAGGGGAGAGAGCATGTACTCTAGATATTACCCATGCGACAGAACAACCCATTTGAAAACTAGCAGATTCACAGTTTTAAGCACAGAACAGCATTCACAGAAAAAAAAATCATCTTGCAGCACAGAGGAGAAGGCTTCTAGCTCTGAACATGCGTACTATGACACTGTACAGGCACAAGAGACTCACACCACCCACTCAAGCAATGACACTGGCTAATAGTTAATGTGCCGCAAATTACACCTCCTACTACCAGGGTCCGTCTGCTAGAGAATAAATCAAGCAAACATGAGCATTTTGATGCTTTGTGTATTTCTCCACATGTGCAGCCATTTCAGTAGACTTCGCAGTTAAAATATCAACCTCCAATAAATGTCAGGTTTAACTCCATCAGTAATTTAAACTTTTTTTGTTTTACAAAACACAGCTAATATTCTTCACAGGTTTTTTTGGGTTTTTTTCCTATTAAATTAAACTCTGAAAGTAAACAATAGAGAAGAAACACAGAAAATACAACAATTACTGTAAGGGAGAAATGGACATGGTGGAAATTTCATGGGTGTTAAAATGACAAAGCACAAGCAACTGTGAAGTCAACTGACTCTGCAAGTAGGTGTAGCAGAAGAGGGCACACTTATGGATAGTAGTGCTAGTTGAGATGTAACCACTAAGAATACAGAAAACAAATTTCCCATAAAATGGACATTGTAAGATATTTTGGAAGTGTCAGAGCGGGGTTGTTAAATGTTTAGCCAAGTGTTTTTAGTATCTTCCAAATGTTCTGCTCATGACAGAAGCAAAGAGCTGTGGGATTTATGGCTTTCATCAGTTATCCTAGCAAGCCAATGAGTCCCTCTATCATTGCCCATCTGCATCCTCTACCCACTGGTCTGCTGGTAGCAGCTGAAGTGAACACATCACTGTCCTCCTCACATCCTCTGGTGATTCTGCCTTTCCTTTCCATGCATTTTATTGAAGGTGTCCCACTGACAAAACCCAATCGTCTTATTTTGGGTCATACATGAGCTCTGTTCAGTTACAAATGGAAAGAAAACAGGGAGAAATATGGGCTGGTGATCAGCCATTCTTCTACCTTCCCACTTCAGATGTCAAACAAAAGGAGGGGAAAAACCACCTTTTCACACAGCTCTAATAAAAAGCAGCTGGGAAAGTCTGTAACCCAACCAAAATCAATTATGTTGATGAAGATTTACAAGCCTAGAATAATGTCATTGAAAACACAGGCTAGTTTTAGGCTGACATAGAAACTGTTCTGAAAAAGAAAACCCTCTATTCAAACTGACAATCCTGATATGACAATATAAACACAGATTTAGATCCATAACTCCTCAGGGAAAATAACATCTCTTTTGCTAAATAC